GGACCGCCACGGTCTGGAGAAGACAGACGACACAGACCATCATGGTCTAGAGAAGATAGACGACCTGGACCGTCACGGTCTGGAGAAGACAGACGACACGGACCATCACGGTCTAGAGACGACAGACGACACAGACCATCATGGTCCAGAGAAGATAGACGACCTGGACCGTCACGGTCTGGAGAAGACAGACGACACAGACCATCATGGTCGACAGATGACAGACTCTCAGAGTCTATAAACGGCAGGCGCAGACCACCACAGCTGTAGATGACAGATGTCGCCATCTAGGCCGCAGCACACAGTGCAGGTCACTGACCCCTGGCGAGCAGGGGTCTCCCTGCTCCAGCTCACCCCTGCGACAACGAGCTTTGCTCGAGATACAGTTACAATCGTGTCATTCCCCAGACTGAAAGCCAGACCTTTCTCGCGGTCTGTGGGGCCTGAGCATTCCCAGCACCTCCGGCAGCACGCCACCGTCTCTGCTGTGTCCTGCTCGCTCCAGCACTTGTCTCACCTCTGCAGGGAGGCTGTGACCCTCCCGAGGACAGGACTCCCCCGGCCTCACCTGGCACCGTGCGCTGCTGGAGGGTCCCTAGAAAGGCTTCACGGATGAACAGAGAGGCACACGTGTGAACTTCAGCAGAGCTTAGAAGAGAGTCACAGGCTTTACAGCCTGCATTCTGTGGCGACGAGAAAGTCACCCAGCTGCTTCCTGGGGGGACAGAATGAAGGACAGTTTTGGAAGCTGGAAAAGGTGGCTGGGGGTGACCTCGTGCCAGGCCAGGGCACACCCACTCTTTAAATGCTTCTTGTTCCATCTCTGCCCCGAGCCCTGCTACCTCTCACCTTCCCACGATGTCGGCAGGTGCCAGGAATCTGAAAGTGCTCGGCTCTAGCCAAGGAGGCCCTGGATCCACGACTCTGAATCCTCCCTGTAAAGGAGAGAGCGGGACCTTTAGGACGTAACTGTGTGAGCAGAGCCAGGCTCAGAAGCCACACAGTGCCCGCACAACAGGACGGCAAGAGAAGCAGGGCCCACCCAGCAGCCTGCATTCTGGCGATCAGACCCGGGAGGGAGGGTAGCCCCAAAGAGTTCAGAGCCCGGGTCAGGGTCCCAGAATGAGTAGTAGAGGCTGGGAGTCATATTTTGATGCCTTAAGGGACCACAGGACCTGTGCTCTGTGCATCAAATACTCCTTAATAAACAGGAAAACTTTACAAAGGAATAGTGGCTCTGGGAGAAAAAAGAGACGTCAGGAAGGGGGGCCGGTGCTTCCTGGAGCAATCACGGGGCAAGGTCCCACCCCTTCTCCCCTGAACACGGGCTCCTGAAGGTCTCCAGGATGCCAGGAACGGGTGTGCCAGATCTGTCCCAGCAAGCCCGCAGCTCCAGCCACTCTGCCTCACATCCATTTCTCTAGATGGGACTGCTGGTGAGCTGCGGAAGGTCCCCAGGGTAATTAAAGGGTACAAGAACGCCTCACTGAGCTGCCTAGCAGCTGGTGTTCAAGACAAGTCTATCATGAGCATAAATGAAACAATTCATGTAAGGACTCTGTCCCCAGTATGCAGGCAGGAGCAAAGTGCCCGGAGATGGGCAGGCCAGGCAGCTGAAGACCCCTGAGAATCGTCACGCAGGAGACCCAGGAGTGTTGAGCTCTGGTCCCCCTCTGGTCCCCAAGCAGGAGGGAAGGGCCACAGGACGACAGTGCCCAGGCCCCAATTCCCATGCCAGGCTGTGATCGCCTGCTTCTGCTGACCACACTCCCACACCGGCACCTGGCACAGCACTGTGACGCAGGGCAGATCCCTGATGGACGGTGACTGAATGACCAACGAGGCCCTTCGTGCTTTCCTGAAACGCCAAGTGCTCAGGGAAGGTCAGGCCCTGGAGCCTGTGGCCAGGAGGTGACCCTTGGCCCTAATGCCCCACCGTGCATATGGTCCCCGCAGATAGCACACGAGGACCCCATGTCTTCAGTTCTGCCTCAGGCGGCTCGTGGAGCAGGGACGGGCTGCGCAGCAGCCACTGAGGACAGTCGTCCTTTCTCCTGTGTCCGAGCCCTGCACTTGGCGGTTGGCAGTAGAGACAATGCTCTCGGACCACAAAGGAAGACACTGGGGCCACCGCAGCGAAGAAACCTACATACGTACCCGAGTCAGGTCTGCCCGACTCCGGAGCCAACGCACTTCTTCCCATCTGTCTTTGCGACTCACGGCATGGCCTTCGGACCGGCCGCTTTTGTCACTGGCACCCCTGGTGCTTGCTAGAAATGCAGAGGCCGCACTCCAGATCTCCGGAACCAGGATTTCCACAAGCTCCCGAGAGGACTCGTGTGCACGTTAACACTGGAGAAACGCCGCCGAGACTCCCTCTCATCAACACTGGGAGACGACCTGAAATAAAGGGCCGTCTCGGAACGCAGACCGGAACCACGACGAGAAGCAACTTCACACCCATTAGGACTGCGGTTATTAAAAACAAAGAGGAAAAAGAAAATAAGCACTGGGGCGCCTGGGGGGTGTAGTGGGTTGAGTGTCAACTCTTGGTTTCAGCTTGGGTCGTGGGACCGAGCCCTGTGTCGGACTCTGGGCTCAGTGGGGAGTTTGCTTCTCCCCGCTAAATAAAAAATTTTTAAAAAGAAAAGAAGGGGTGTGGAGCAACTGGGCTCTTTGTGCACCGCTGGTGGACACCTATGACACGGCTGTCACAGGAGAACACCACAGCAGCTTCTCAAAAAACAGAGAATTCCCGTAAGACCCAGCAAGTCCATCTCTGAGTATCTACCCCAAAGCACTAAGAGCAGGGACCTGCACGGACACCGGGACAGCTGTGTTCACAGCGGCGTCGCTCACAACTGTCGGAAGGCGGAATCAAGTGAAGCATCCCTCGGAGGATGACCGGAAAAGCGCGATGTGGCCTGGCCCTGCAGGGGACGGTCGCACTCGGCCTTAGGAAAGGTCCTGACACCTGCTACACCATAGGGATGGGCCCAGGGTGGGGGGGGTATTACACCGAGTGAGAAAAGCCAGACACCACAGGACAAACACTGTACCATCCCACTCACGGGCGGTCCCTGGGAGAGTCGGATCCGTACAGAAGATGGGGGTGCCAGGGGCTTGGTACAGGACAGGGAGTCGGTTTAATGGGGACCGAGCTCGAGCTGCAGAAGATGGGCGCGTTCTGTGCACGAGTAGCGGCATCTGCGTTACGGTGAGTGCGCTGCACACCCCCGAGCTGATCCAAAACGGCTAAGACGGTAAATCTTAGGCTATGTATATATATATTTTTAAGATCTATTTGTTTACTTTAGAGAGTGGGGCGAGAGAGAGAGAGCGCACAGCAGGAGGGGAGGGGCAGGGAGAGCGGACCTCAGGACCCACACGGGGTCAGTCCCGTGACCGAGATCGCCACCCGAGCTGAAACCAGGAGTCGGACGCTCAACTGACCGCGCCACCCACGTGCCCCCGGGCTATGGGTATTTCAGCGCAATTTTTAAAAAATGCTTTAAAATAAAAGAATCTGGGGGGGATTGTGGGAGATGCTTTAGGCTTACAGAAGTATACTCTGCTCTTCATTCTTGGTACTTGGCCTTGAAAGGTCAAGCTTTACCCCCTGTTTTCCACATACCTTTGAAACCCGTGAAGGGAACAGACAGAAAATCAGAATAATGAGGCCTCTGTGGGGTTAACAGGCATTAGCCCCACAGCCCATATAACCAAAAGCTGAGAGTGGGAAAAACATACACTTACCCAGAGGCCCTATGATGGGTTGACTTTACACATGTGGGTAGGTGCTGGGCTGAGGGTGTCGGTGTGGGATCTGGGCCCCGCCCGCTTCTATAGGGCTTGTCCGTTCAAGGTTCTCCGTTAAATAAGGGAGCCTTGGCCCACTAACACGTGCTCAGGCATTTAGGCCCACTTGCCTGAACAGAGTACGGTCTACATCATGATAATAACAAAAACAAAGGAATACCCATTTCACTACATGGGGACGATGGGGAGGAAGGGACATTGTTGGGGTAGAACAGAACCCCTTCTTTCTACTCAGTGGTAACCAACAGATGCTATTCAAAACTGAAAAAAGGGATCAGAGAAATTAGACAGAAAGAATACGAGCAGGTTATTTAGAAATACGGAGGAAGGGCCACCTGAGCGGCTGTTGGAAAGCGTCTGCCTTCAGCTCGGGTCATACTCCTGGGGTCCTGGGATCGAGCCCCGCATCGGGCTCCTGCTCCGCGGGGAGCCTGCTTCTCCCTCTGCCTGCAGCTTCCCCTGGTTGTGCTTACAAATAAATAAAATCTTAAAAAGAAAAAGAAAAATGGAGAAAAACAACAGATTTGAACAGTGGCCACCTTCGGAGTACCTGGGTAGCGCAGCTGCTTACGCACCTGACTCCTGCTCTCAGCTCAGGTCATGACCTAAAGTCCGGGGACCGAGCCCCACTTTGGGCCTGGTGCTCAGTGTGGACGCTGCTTGAGATACTCTCTCCCTCTCCCTGCTCCACCAGCGCTCACTGTCTCTCTCAACTAAAATGAATCTAAAAAAAAAAAAGAAAAGAAAGAGTGGCTGCCTTTGGGAAGCCAAGACCTGGAGGTGGTAAGTGTGCCGGAACGGGTCTAGTAACTAAGTTTGTTTTGTTTTGTTTTTGTTTTTTAAGATTTTATTTATTTATTTGACAGACAGAGATCACAAGCAGGCAGGGAGGCAGGCAGAGAGAGAGGAGGAGGCAGGCTCCCTGTTGAGCAGAGAGCCCTATGCGGGGCTCGATCCCAGGACTCTGGGATCACGACCCGAGCCGAAGGCAGAGGCTCAACCCACTGAGCCACCCAGGCGCCCCTAGTAACTAAGTTTTAAAATCACGCATATACGACATTACCTTAATCTGTTCAGGCCGCTATAACAAAAACCCAGACTGGGGTCTTACAAGCCCCACTGGTGTCTCACGGTCCAAGATCAAGGTCCTGGCAGATGCCCTGTCTGGGGAGGACCCAGTCCCGGTTCAGGAGGCCGCGTCCTCACGGGGCAGAAGGGGGGAGGGCGCGGGCTCGGGGCCTCTGCTGCAAGGGCTCTAACCCCATCACGAGGCTCCGCCCGCTGACCTCACGGCCTCCCACCGGCCCTGCCGGGCACCGTCACACTGGGGGTTCATGACAGGAGCTGGGAGAACTTCATACAGGTCCGTGCTGATCTTTCCACCACTACTACGGCAGAACGTACATTCCTGAGGCTCACAGGTGACCTGGCTACAGAGAACACCCCGTAAGGGGTGCCCAGACGGTCTATCATCAACCTTTCAAAACAGGTCGTAGCGGCTTTGCATGAAACAGGAACACGACGGCAAGAACAGCTTAAAATAACAAGCACCACGTTCGCATCAGACGGAGACGGAGGGGCCGCGCGCCGCCGTGGCCGGGTTTCCCCAACCGCTCCCACTGCCCTCTGGGAACCTGCCAACAGCTCTCAGAACTGCCCCACACAGTCTGCTTGGCCTGTGATCCCCACTGAGGAACCTTCTAAGGAACACGAACACCGACACAAGATGTGCTACCTGAGAAGCCGCTCACACTATTAAGAACCGGTGACGCCTACCGGCCCAGCAGCAGGCGGCGAGCTGGGAAGAAGGCGGCACGTGCAGACAACAGAACGGGGCGCACTCCTGCACGGAGCCGGCATGACCCCAAGAGGCACCTACGTGGGAAAAGGTGTTGGCACGTGTGTATCACGCGTGAACGCTGAGGGAACCGGACACAAAACACGAGACTGGCACCTCCGGGGAGAGGAGGGCTGCGGCGGCCGGGTTTGCTCCGCGTCTCCCAACCTGGCTGGCATCTCCGCCACGGCAAGGGCAACGGCGGCTGCTGGTAAAGGGCGGGGGACATCGCGAGCTGGTGCTGCAACGCTGCGAGCTCCGCTTTACGACAAGAAGACGTCCGTGGCCTCAGGGTGGTCGTCGCTGTCAAAGGGGAACCGACTCCGGCCACAGAACCACCCACTGGAGAACAGTGAAACGGGTTTTACACGGCGAACGCTTTACAGTGACTCAGCGCGCCGTGGGTACGGACCCTCCTAACAGCGGGAAAAAGGTCCCCGCTTACCCCGAGCTCTAAGAAGAGGGGGTGAGTGGGGCTCCTGGGTGGCTGCGGGGTTAAACTGCACCTCGGGGCTTTTGTTCAGGTCATGACCTCAGGTGGGCTCACCCCCCCATCGGCCTCCACACTCCGCGGGAGATTCTCTGCCCCCTCCCCTCCCCCATCTAAGTGAGTCTGGTAGAAACTGCGGGGCCTGAGGTTTGAGAGAGACTGTCTGAAGCCACATCCCTGGTGCCCGCCCAACCCAGCACAGCTCGGGGTAGTGATGCGGACCCCACAGTGACCCAGACCGCTGGGGCGCAGGGGACTCCACGATCTTCAGACGAGGGGAAGACCTATGGGCACTATGGGCACGGGGACCCCGACGGTCAGGAGTGCGGAGACCTGTGCGCCCCGCGGGGACGGGGGACCCCGACGGTCAGGCGTGGGGGTGCGCCCCGCGGCGCCCGAGACTCCGGGGCTGGCCCTTTGGCTCCGCCGGCACCCCCAGCGCGGTCACCCCGTCTGTCGTCCGGAGCTGCTGAGGGCGTCTGGGCGCCTGGTCCCCCTGAGCCCAGCCCGGCAGGACAGGCCCTCGGCGTGCGGTCCCCCACCGCGTCCGGCCGCGGGAACCTTTCCCCTCAGGCGCAATCCAGAGTCGCTCCGAGGAAGTCCGACGCCACGCGCCTGCGCAGACCCCTGAGCCTGCGCGGTCCCAGCTCCTACGCAGAGCCCTGCGCCTGCGTGGGTGGGGGGGGGAGGAAATACCTGGACAGATCTCCGCGCTTGCGCAGAGCCTGCGTGTGAGGGCCCGCCAACGGGGGCGGGCCCAGAGTCGGCAGGCCATCGTTCGATCCCCTTCATTGGCTGAGAAATGGAGCGGTGGCGGGGCCCACCGCTGATTGGGCGGCGTGCGAAACAAAGGGTACCTGCGAGCCAATCGCAGGGCGGGTGAGGTGCGAGCAGGGTCCCGCAGGCGCCTGAAGGCTGAATTGCGGTTTCTTGGCCATGGCCTCTGAGAAGACGGTGGTGGCGGTGACCTGCACCGCGCCGGTCAACATCGCGGTCATCAAGTACTGTGAGTGCGCGGCCCGGGGCGCCGGACACGGCCCACGCAGGACGTCCACCCCCGGGGGGTCGGGACGGGGTTGGCGACAGTGTCCACGCGGACGGCGAGCCCCGCGGGGGCGGGATGGGGTGGGGGACAGTGTCCCCGCGGGGGCGAAACGGGGGAGGGTGACTGTCCCCGCGGGGGCGGGATGGGGTGGGGGACAGTGTCCACGCTGGGGCGAGACGGGGGAGGGTGACTCTCCCCGCGGGGGCGGGATGAGGGC